TCAGATAGCCCTCCTCCCCATTCTTTAATTGACCATGAATTTTACGCCATCCCGAAAGCCGCAAATATACGGCAAGCACATGCCTCGCACTCCTTGGTGTGGATGGATAATACTCCCCTGTATCGCCAAGTCTCTGCAGTTGCCAGAAATAGAGCATTGTGGGTTCCGGTTGTTAATAAACCCAGCCGTAAAACCTCGCAGCGTTCTTGACGGTCGGAGCAGACGGGACCTACCTTGGGCCCTGCGCTTGCAAAACAAAAAAAGGCACAGCCTACAACTTTTGATCTTCGGGTAATGATACCCACCTGCTAAACACTCCGTTGCGGGGGTGGATGCCGCCTTAAAGTGGCCGGAGCCAATCGCGGTTGATGGTGCGTCTGCAAAGTGCAAAAAGTGTATGTATGTATGTATGTATGTAAGTAAGAATGTATGTTTGTTTGCTTGCTTGTTTGCATGCAGACGTACATACATAATGTACACACATTCACATGGCCACAGATCTTTAGAGAAATCCATGCGTCCGCCATGCAGAAGTTGCATAGGCACTGCCTTCACGTATGTGTCCATGTCTGTCTGTCTGTCTCCCTGTCTGCAAATCAATATGTCTGTATGTCGGCATGTTTCCATGTATGTTACATGCCCTTTTCGCATAGGTGTACTCGCGACGCTTGGGGATCTTGAGTTGCCTGGTTCTTGGCACGTCACGAATTTATATAGGCATCTGGCAGATACCGCGGATTTGCAGCTCATTCTCAGGATGTCTTCAGCGAACTTTGTGAGTACGATGAAACAACGGCCGGGCGGCGAGGCACCGAGAAGAGGCCTCATGATAACTTTTGACAGCATGCAAACTTGCATGCGGAGCGTGCGGGAGCAAGCGAAGTCGAGAAAGAGGGAGAGAGAAAGAGAGCTTGAATTGCAGATTGCATGTCACTCATTGCCCGGTTCTTGCACCAAAATGCTTTCAGTCAAACGAACTCGCTCATTGCGACGTGCATGGTGAGGTCGCCAGTTTACGTGCAGCTCTGGGAGTGGAACTTTGACGATATCGCAAAGGAGCTTGGGTGGGTTGAGTCTATCGTCTATAGCCTGCGACCGAGTGCTACAACCGACGCCCACGGTATTCGTGGACTCCATGTTGCAATGCCTGCCTTGCATCTGCTCTCTACAAGCCGGCAATGTCGCGCGATAGCGGTGCTCAAGTCAGTCTCAGCAGCGGTGTGACACGATAAATTTGAACACAGATTACATGGCGGATTTGTAACTGTCCAGATGCACCAGCCAGGAGTGTGTCAACTACCTTGGCCCCAACGGGATCGATGCCGTGCAGGTCTCACCGGTCACCGAGCACATCCTGGGGTCGGACGCTCGCAGAATGTAGGACTTCCATGTGTCAACCTGTCATCTGCTTTTGCTACAGGAGCTCCGAACCTGCCTGGGTTCAACCGGTAGAAACGGTGCTCGTTTGGGCCGAGCAGGGGTGGCCGGGGCCAGTGTCAGTCTCTGCGACAGACCCTGCATCTTTGCTAAGAAGATGTTCTTTAGCTTTACGGCGAAGCGTTCGGACCCACTTTTCTTGATCAACGGGGGGCCAAGAGCACCAGATGTAGCAGGCGAAGTTCAGTTTTTGCTGCTTAACCGACTGGCCCGGCACGAGTGCATCTCAAGCAAGGGCGTCCCGACAACAACTTCGTGCGTAACTGCAGTTGTGCCCTGAAGCTTCTAATTCACAAAAAAACGGTTGAACTGTCACACTGGATTGTACGTTTGCCAGCAACAAACACCCACGCCAAGCTCGTGTCACCGCGGGGAGGCCACCTCGTTTTTTCCAGAGATTTGCATGCCAAGCGGAAGCGTGTTTCCTTTTGCAAGGAGTGGTACACCAAGTATCAGCCCATTGGCTTTGGCCTCCACTCCCGGTCCGGCAGCGAGGCAGTGATTCCTTGGAGCCAAAAACAGCAAGCTGAAGCCAGTCTCAGACATGATGTAGTTTGCCCCAAGCACAAGACTTGCACGGCGCTGGCTTTCCTCGGTATTCAGCCGGTGTGCATCCTTGTGACCGGCTGTTCAGGCACAGTTCGCGCAGATGATTGCGAAATGCCGTGGTGCTGGCGTCCAGGTGTGGTCGAGAAGTGCGGAGGGCTGTGTACAGACATCTAGCGGGGCGTTTGCTTGGCTGAGTGCCGCTTTGACAGTGGCTCCCTTCCAATCCTCTGCTCAGTCGCCCGAAGCGCTCTCATTGCGACAAAGGTCATCGTGGATGTGATCTTGAATCACATTGCCGCCCCTTGCCAGGCTGCCATCGAGGCTCTCTGGATTTTTTGTACAAGTAGTGACTGGGTCATGTTTGAAAAAGTTTCGTACTACCCAGAGCATTCCATGTACTTCTTCCGGGCTGTTGCCGTGCGTTCGGCTGGGGAGCTGCTTTGCTTGCAGGGCTTTGCTTTTCCGAGGGCGTTGTTGAGGGCAGCTTTCTGACCCCGTGAGTAAGTGGCCGTTTGACTCTCATTCCTGCCTCTGGAAGTGCAAGAAGTTGTAACACGGGCTTGATCTCTGCGTGAGCCGCGGTTCATGGTATCTCGGTCCGATGCTCGCCTCACTTCGATTTGGACCTTGTATCCGTGGTGCGTTTCCTAGCTGGCAGAGTTTCAAAAGCCGGTGGTGCGGCCGTGATGCCCTGCAAGGACACGGGAACGCGATCAGTTCACATGTTTGGGCATGTTTGGGATTCGGTACGACCATGTCTAGGCCCTTTCACTCATTTACGTGCTCTCCTCCAATCGCCGCAAAGTCGTGTGAGGAACTTGGCCGGGATCCCCTTAAACATCCTATCTCAAGAGATTCCTCTGAGCTCCGTCCTGACACCAGGGCTGGGCCGGGTCGGCCTATGGCAACCGGCGGATCAACTCCCAGGCACCGCTCCCAAGCCAGCTTTGACTCCAGTGCAGCTTGTGGCAGCTCATTGCTACCCAAAAGGCGCCCTGCCTCAGTTCTCGCTTTTGATGCTCGGAGGATGGCTGGAAGGGCCCGGAACTATTCCACAACCGCCAGGCACGTGACGCGGAACATCTCGGTTCTCAAGTTTCTTAGCTGGGTCTGCTTCTAACAACTTGGAGTTTGGTCAGGAAAGCCATCCTGATGTAGGTGTGATCCGGATCTGAAAGAATGGCCGGATCCGTAGCCAATAGCAGCGGCACGTGCGGCGCAGCGCATGTGCTGTGTCGAGGAAATCGATGGCAACCGCCTTGGCAACTGCCCCGTGGAGGAGCCCAGCTTCACGTGCCCTCAGAGCAGCTCAGCTACGACGGGGCTAGTCACGATTTCAGACAGTCCTCCTGTTTTTTGCACTGGGGTTTCTTGCTCAGACTTTGGAGTGGAGCTTTTCGGAGCGCGCACTCACACTACGTCGCCAGTCGGTGGCAGTGCCTAAGGCGAGCCGCCTGGTGACTGCACGAGATGTGACTTCAAGGGCCTCCCCGACGCTCTGGCTGGTAGCTTTGTTGCATCAAGCGCCCCGCACTGAGAGAAACCGAGGACTGGAACACTGGCCTGCAGCCCACGCCTCTTGGAAATGAGATGAAATGAGCTGGAGATGCTTTATGTCTGCAGTGGAGCCATGAAATGAAGCTTACATGCGACTTCTTTCTTCCCAGTGAGTTCGTGGTAAGATGCTCCGAAGGCGCGACATCCTGACGAAGCATCTCACTGACTCCTGGCACAAATGCTGCAGCTGCCCCCGTTTCCTTTAAGCAGCTGTTCGGGCTTAATGACGAAGTTTGATCACAGCCACCGGTCCCGTAGGTCGCTTTCGCCTTGGCCCTGGTCTTCCCATACACTTGTGTTATGCTGGGAGTTGGTTTCGGGCCTTGGGCCCATCGCCATCACGCGCCGAATCACAAGCCGCGAAGTGCCGGCGAAACTCATGGCGATTCTCGCTCAGTGGTCTCCCGACTGTTGGACCTGATCTGGACTCTGTGTGCAAGGCAGAACGAACTGACAGGAACTGGCTATCTGCACAGGAGCGAAGCCCAAAGTCTGCACTGGGTTTCCTACCAACAACCTCCGTCGCTTCGAGGAGTTGCATGATCTTGGCGTGACGATGCTACGTCTTGATGCTGCAAGTTCTTTGGCGGCACCCCAGTGGAGATTCTCCCGCAGACAGCGGCCACGGAAGTGCTTGTGCGCGAACCGACTGATAATTTGACCACCGTCCCTCTGTTGTCCCATCGTGCTTCCGTTTCGTTTGGGCGCGCTGTGCACTTGCCATGTTGTTGTTGCAAGCAGCTTCCTGTATGGCTTTCTAACAGACTCAGAAGATGAGCAGCTTCCCCGCGAAACGTGCAATGAGCGTACCTGGGAGACACTGCCGTTAGTTTGCGAGCTAAGGTTATGTCTCTGTGGAGGATCTGGCAGTGAACTTGGACTGACATAGCTTGCTTAGGCCCCAACCCGAAGTGAAGCAACGAACAGTTCACGCTCTTGACTTCTGACTTACGCCTCACTCGTTGTTGTCCCTCGAGATTTTGCGGGTCAGGTAATGCATCAGAAATAACTGAGTTCTCGACCCGAAGCTTCGTTAGAAGACAGCCTAGAATAGCACGTTATGTTGCGGCTTCTTCGAGGCTTCGAGGAGGAGCCTCTCTGGTGCAAGCCAGTGCAAGCCCGCGCAAGCCCGTGCAAGCCTGTAAGCGGAGAGCCGAAGCCGAGGATAATCAATCAGTTGCCCTGGGACCTGGTGCACCTGGGCGGCAGTTCCCAGGGCTGCAGAGTCGGGCTGCTTCGGCCCTGCAGTCACCGTGGACCACACTCGCTCGATATGGGCACAGGTACCAAGAGTGGTGGGGCGGCGTTCCGCTCGAAGAGAGGACCCCCAAGTCAATTAAGCATGTTAGCCCGGCCATGATTCCCTTTGACTTTGCTTAGCTGCCAATCTTCACGCGGTTGTGGAAGTCTGAATGGGGTGGAGGGAGCGTTTGCAAGGACAGTGGCAGTGGGCCACTACCGAGATCAGAAATACGGACTGAAGATTCTGAGCTGCAGTGAGGAAGCCGATACAGGTCATTGCTGCAGCCAGTGGTAGCGTCGGCACCCCGCGGACCCAAGAGGCCAACGATCGAGGTTTGAACATCTGTTGAAAAGGCTGCGATCTCCTGAAGCAACGAATCCAGAGATATCCGGAGTAAGCCCTGGACGAACACAAACGGTGGTGGAACGGAAATTACACCTCGGGAAGCGGGAAAGACCCGATCGAGCGCTGCACCAGGGAGGTTATGATTCGGGATGATAGAAAATGCGTGGTTTGTAAGCTGTACAGCTGGAGCAGGGGAACCGCAACCCGTCATACGCACCGCTAAAACGTGGGACAAGACCTGATCGCGAACCTGAAGATAAAGTACGTGCCAGGCTCGCTAGGGACACAGACTCGAGGCAAGCAAACGAGAAAGTCAGCCAGAGACAGGCAGAGGATCAATCATGATACAGTCTGAGTGACAGCTTTGCAAGTGGGGATGCTGCACGCCAGCACGGCAAGATTGCTGGGTGCGATCCCAATTGAACCAAATCTGCCTGCAGATTTGCAAGTCAGTGCTTCTCTGAACCTATCATACCGAGGCGAGCCAAGAAATTCTTATCAGCCCTTTGCCAAGCCACCCGAGACACAGGGTTTCGGGTCATGCCTTGACCGTTGCTAGACTCGATGGAAGGACGGAAGGTAGAGAGCGAGAGAGAGAGCGCGAGTGGGAAAGGAAAAGAGCAAGGAAAGAAAGAAGGACGGGCAAGAAGACCGGAAAGACAGGAAGGAAGATAGGCAAAGTACATTCATAGTCATAGACATATACAACAGAGCATAGCTACAGAAGTAAAGAAATAACGAAAGGCAGACAGACAAAACCACACACACACACACACACACACGCGCACAAAAATCACAAAACGACACGAATGAATGACAGAACAGAAAGGAAGACGGAGAGCACGCCCTGGCCAGCCTGGTGCGCCTAGAGTGCGGCGGACGATTTGCTTTGAGTGCTTTTCGCGCTGCCTGCAGCCCTACGAGCGAAGTAGGGTAAGTAGGGTTGGCGTTCTGCATTTTTGCAACACCTCAGACTTCTAAACTCAAAGGGCCTTCATGCTGACGCACGGGGACGCACGGGCCGGCCTGTTGGAGGGAGGGCCTGCTGACATGCAACAAAGTATTCTCTGGGATGTTCTTATGAGAGACATTTGCAAACGCTGCCCTCGGGCTAGGATTCACCCATTTGGTTTGGGAGTGGTCACCTTTTGGGATGGGAGGGAGACAGAGACCCAGAGCCAGGGAGTGAGAGAAGCACAAAACATGGACTGCAATATCCCGTGCTGTAGAGATGAGATGGGGCACCTATCCTGGAGCCGAGGATTACCAATGCCTTGGGCGTGGGTGACGTCAAATACATGCCGGAGCTTCAGGGCTCCCGGTTTTCGTCACCGAAACGTCCTATCCCGCAGAGCTGTTCCTTGTGCATTGCGATGCAGATCACGTGATTGGCCAAGACTTCATGTGAGCCAGGAGCTCCTGAACATCAGCCACGGCATCGATGGCATCTCGCCGGAACGTGCTGTCTACCCGCTGACGTTTCACGACCAGAGGCCATCAGTTCTGAACTAAGCGTCGAGCTTGCAGCATCCGTTCGCTTGCAAGCAGCAGTTGTTCAGGTGATGTGGCCCTTGTGTGTGGCTGGCGTGACCTGTTTGATTGCTGCAGGACTTTGCAGGCTGATCGCTTCATTCCCACATTCAAAAATGGACTGGCTCCTTGGAGTTCGATGTGTGGACCTGAAAAGTCGAAGTTCTTGACGAGCTTTATTGGTGACTGATGGTACCGTAAGATCATGTGTTTCTATTTCAGCCTAGTTGGCTGAGTGCTGAACAAAAATTCAAGCCAGTTGCTTGCGGCCACATGGAGGAAAAATCAGGAAACGGCTGCACCCCTCAGCGAGAAGTCTTTGGAGTGATGAAGCTGCATTCGTGCATTGAATGTCGCTCTAGCACGAACCGTGAAAGCTCTGGTACAATAAGATTCCCATCCTTGCACTTCGTTCATTTCGGACGTTCGTGGCATCGGCACTACCCGAGGAGTTCCATCAGCAGCAAAAGTTCCTGCTGGCCTGGCCATCAGCGGTTGCTGTGTGCCATGGCTCTCAAAACCTCTCAAACATTTAGAACCATGCCGAGACTCTAAGGCTTTGCAGACATGTTGATGACCCTGATGTCTTTTGCGCAATTTCCTGCTTCGTGCTCCGCCGCTGCTCCGCATGGCTCGCCATCACAAAGTGACCACCAGACGAGCAAACAGTGGGGGAGTGGCGAGAGATGGCGAGAGCAAAACTTGAAAAAAAAATAGTGCTGCACGCGATTTCCAAAATCAGAGCTTTCTTGCAAATTCTTCGGGCACTGTCACTGAAGCCTAACCACTGCAGCACGGTCACAGAACCGAGGCGCCTTTTTGGTGGCTTCACCTTCACCAACATGGACGCTGGACCTCCCGGAAACTGTGACACAGCTGCAGGGGCTTGTCAAGTAATTCGATTGCATGCAGGCTGGATATCAGGACGCCGTACAATCTCGAGTTGATCTTCTTTAGGAAGTTTGACAAACTTCGTAAGCTGCTGTGCTGCCCGAAAGCATCAAGGTGGAAACGGACAGTGCCAGCCGTTCCCGGTGTATATGTTCAACGATGCAGAGCCTCGCTGTGCCTTGGCTAGCTGGTCAGGTTTGATTATCTTGTTAAAAGATTTCTGTAGACTGTAGTGAACGAGTCGGAACGGGGGAAGCAACATATGCCGGACTGCGAAGTCTTGTTTTCGCTCAACGAACCAAAAGCCGCTGATGCCGCTTCCTTGCCTTAAGGTTAGCGCAGGGGAGAACATGTGGGGACTTATGCAATCCGAGCCCTTAGAGACTTTTGCATTCACGATGCCATGATGTGGCCTGGTCCGAACTGTTTTCATCTCAAGTCTCTTGCCACCGCCATGGGATTGCCGCCCAAGGTATGCCCACTCCGACGGAATCCCCCTTGGCAACTTCGTACGAGGCCGGTCAGTTACTGGCAACTGGATACCTCACTGCTTCTTGATCCATGCCTGTCAGATCGTGAGCGATGTGTGAAGGGACTGTTGTCGGCAGAAGACAGCAAGCCGGCGAAGATAAGTTGTTTTTGTTCGAGCGAGCTGCGTGGGATGTCCCCTCACCTCCTTCCCAAGACTACCGTTTGGAGGGCTGGGTGTGCGAGCACCGCTGGGAGGGCATTGCTGGCCTCGTGGCTTTCCGGAAGGCATGGAATAGGGATGTCGATCAACTTGCTCAGAATTGGCCGGACCGAAGTCTGGAAAGGTATGATTTGGTTGGTGGGGTTGATGGAAATGCAGCTGCATCTAATCGAAGAGGAAGTCTGTGTTCATCGAGCAAGTGGCTCCGACTGCGTCGTCATCTCTACACAGACCCAGAGCAGCCAATGCACATGTCTGGAACTTCATATTGTAGAGACATGGCATGCCGACAACCCCTCGACCTGCTTTTATTCGTGGGGCGTAGGCCCTTGGCCTCGCTGCCCTGAGAGTCTGAGAGTGCCAGGCGTGTCGTGGGCAACCCATCACGCAGACATGGTCGGAGTCGACCGTTCCATCTGTAGGCCTCGGGGGATCTCGGGGTCGTGAAGGGGGCTTGTGGTCTATGCTTGGGGCCTGTGTGCAGCAAGACCAGGGTTTGCAGGAGGCTCGTGGGTTTCCCACGGACTCCACAAATAGGTAGCCAAGATGTTGAGAGCCGCATCAGGGCTCCAGCATCCGGTTCCTGCTGATCAGGTCTAGGACATTTTGCCTTCCGCGCCGGTGGCGACTGCTTCGCTGCCCTTGTGCGGGGGGACAATACGCGGCCGCACAGCTCAAACTGAAGGTTGAGGGATGCTCAGTGCATGTGGAGTTGTTTGCACTGCAGAACCCAATCCCTTAGTGTTTTGAAGTTTTCTCAACACTTCCTGAATCCAGAAGTGAAGAGGTGGCCCAACTACTGGGGCGACCTGGGACCATGGCGGCTTGCAGGCTCCATGTTTTTTTGCTTCGTTATGCTTCGGTGTTGGTCTGTGTTCTGCTTTTGGTTGCTGCTGGAATCGGCACGTCCGCAAGCCCGGGGTTGCCGACCATGCGAGCTTCTGAAAGTTTGAAGCCTCGTCGCATTTGCTTCTTTGCCTTGCCAAGGCCTTGCCCCAGGCCTTCCCCCTGGCCGCTACTGCTGCTTGGCTCTCGCGAGGGTTCTGGGCGAGTCCTAGTCCTAGTCTTATGTGGCGATACGGGGCGCCTTTCGGGGAGAACATTGCTGTGCCTCCTTCCACCATCTGCCACCATGCAAGACTGAACTTGCTAGGTGACATGGCCTCTCTGACGACCCTGCGCTGTTGGGATCGACGGAGCTGCCCCAGGGAGGTCGCGTGGCATACTCCGGGAAGCTCTTGCCAGATTCTGAATGCAAACGCCTCATCTCAAACGGCATGGAGCTTGCAACATGTATTCTGCGCTCTCAAAAATCTCTCTCCCTCTGCATCAGAGCAGGTCGTAATTGGTTCGGATGGCTCGGCCACTTGGACAGCGACAACGCGAATTGCCGACGAGCGAGAGGAAAGGGGAAGCTTTTGTTCTTCGCCCGAAGCCTTGGACACTCGGAGTGACCTTCGCAGTGCCAGGTTTTGCATGTCGAGAAGATTGCTCCACTTGTGAGCGTTTCGCTTGGACTCTTGAAAGGGAAGCTCTTGGCCCGAAGACATTCCGCCAACAGCATCCTTGGAGCCTCCCAACCTCTCAGCTGCTTCAGCTCTCAGGTGGTTACGGGCACGGTGCCTTGACTGCAGAGCGTCAGTCAGCAGGTCCCCGCACCGGCCGTGGCGCGCAATCGGGGTCGGGGGGCTCTTTGCTTTTGGGTTTGGCCGTTGTGGAGTCCGTGGAGGCCCTCGCGCAGAGCATCCCCTGCGCCGCGTCTAAGCGTATTTTGGACGTGGTCGCTTTTTTGGTAAGTATGCTCTGTGTTCCTATGTGTCTCTGCGCACTGCTTTTTCCCCACCCTCGGTGTGGGGTTGCTAGATTTTAAAGTCAGCTATTACTCCTCGCACGCTGAGACTACCTCCTGGAGTGCCCAGCCCAACCCCACAGACTACCGTGAGAATCCCGCGAGAATCCCTGGAGTGCCCAACCCCACAGACTACCGTGAGAAGCCCGTGAGAATCCCTGGAGTGCCCAACCCCACAGACTACCGTGAGAATCCCGTGAGAATCCCTGGAGTGCCCAACCCCACAGACTACCGTGAGAATCCCTCGTGAGAATCCCTGGAGTACCCAACCCCACAGACTACCGTGAGAATCCCCCGTGAGAATTTCTGGAGTGCCCAACCCCACAGACTACCGTGAGAATCCCTCGTGAGAATCCCTGGAGTGCCCAACCCCACAGACCACCATCAGAATCCCGTGAGAATCCTTGGACCGTGAGAATCCCGTGAAAATCCCTGGAGTGCCCAACCCCACAGACTACCGTGAGAATCCCTGGAGTGCCCAACCCCACAGACTACCGTGAGAATCCCTGGAGTGCACAACCCCCACAGACTCGACTGGACGATTTGGTGTGGCTTTCAAGGCATAAAAACCTCCGAAAATCAAGAATTGCGCGCTTCAAAATATCATTTTGCATGGTTTTGAAGGTTCCAAAAAGCCATGTGAATCTGAGAATCTGATTGGTAAGTTAAACCCGAAAGTAAGGTTTAGCCAGACCCGAATGGTCGCCATGCGAATCCGCTTGTGGGTTCCTAGAATGGAGATTTCCTAGCAATTGGTGTGTCGAAATGGTTCGGTGGGTGGACTTGGGTTCCGTAATAACAAACGGCTCCTCGATGGGTCCTTGTTTCACATAATGACAAACGGCTCCTCGATGGGTCGTTGTTTCACTGCTGACTACCGTCTCTGTGTGAGTGAAAAAAACCTTAAATACCGTTTCCCATCCCTAAGCTCTGTCAACACACACCTAATATATGTGGCATACTTCAGAACTGCTCTCACGTAACTCAGTCTTGAAGCTGAGTGATGGCAAGTTAGCAGCAGGGAGGCCGAGTGCAGTTCAGAAGTGCTGAATAACGGTCAGTGGATGAAGTAGCTTTTTGAAGGGCCCAAGAGTAGTTCTGAGAGGCTGTCGAGCCTCGATGGCAATGAGCCTCCTTACGCCTGAGCCAATGAGCCTCCTTACGCTTGAGCCCAAGCCAATCGTTCCGACCGCCTGTACAACGTGTGCTCGAGCGACCTTCTCGCAAATTGTCGCTGGGGGCACGCGGCTGTTTCTAGAGCTTTGGAGGCTTGGGTTCAACTTGAGCAATTGGGCGCAGATGTGATGTCCATGGGGAGTTCGTTCGATTTCTGTGACGGGGACAAGTCGGACAAAGCTCTGAAGGACGTGAAGCTGTTGCTGCGCGACCGAGTGGTGTGGCAAACCATGGGTCTTTTCCACACGATGACGGACACCCAGGTGATGATGGACTACCTGAAGTTCAAACTGGAGTGCACGGTGCCACGACGCCGCGTGAACGACTTGATGTCGCAGCTGAAGAACGCCATTTACAGGGCACAGACTCATGTCTTGCCGAGATTCTCCATAACTTGTGCGTCAAGTTCTACCAAGATGACGAAATGCAGGACGTGGTGCATCTCCTTTGCGAGAATTTCACTTTGAACCTGTATCATCTGTTTCCGAGCTTGATGGCAATTCCGTTCACAGTGAACGCCCCTCTGGACCGAAACCCAGAGCAGGCCACTCCACAGGCCTGGATCCTTTCTGTGGACAGGCTGAACACGCTCCTTGGTTTTGCGACTACTTGGAGCCTGTGCATGAGTCCCTGAACCTCAGCAACCAAGCGAGCCTGCCTCAAACACGAATTGCGCGCTTCAACATACCATTT